CGAACCGAACCGAACCGTGAATTTTGTGTATCGTTGCACCCCTAATGCATACATGCACTTGTTATGGGCATTGATGTCATGCTAATTTTGTGCTCTTAATGCTTTCTTTGAACTGACCTTTTTCCAGGGTGGGATGGTTTTACAGCACACATCTCTATTGACTGTGTGCAAGAGTTTGAATTTATTTTGGATTTTCTCCAACGGGGGTCAGTTGTATGCATACAGACTCATATCTTAACTTTTTCAACAGGGTTGAGGTCAGGGCATTGGGGAGACCATTCTAGGAGCTTAATGTTAGCCAGCATTACCCATTCCAGTTTTGATGAGTGTTTGGGATCATTGTCCTGCCCAACTCAAAGTTTCATCCGCGTAGCTGTTGATTTGAGTCAAAGCTAAGGAATTTAGAAGAATTTAGAAACTTTTGTCAAGAAGACATTCGGCTTGTCCATGTGGGCAGCTGCAAATTTCAGTCGAGCTTGAAGGAGTTGATTTTGGAGCAGGGGCATCTTTTTTGGTCAGCACCCTCTCACCCTCTCCAAGGTGATGTAAAAGTCTCGTCGCTATGAACTGTGACGCTGGCATTCCAGGAGTTTCCAGTTCATGGCAGGCTTGAGCCTTTGTGGTTTCTGAACATCCTTACCAATTTCCTCTCATCTGAGGGTAACAGTTTGGGTCTTCTTCCTGACCATGGCAAAGTGGTGACACATCAGAATAACTTGTAATTACATGGAATTGTTTGATAATATTGGAATCTGCAGTTTTTTGGAAAAGGCTCTAAGAGATCTTCCCAGTGTGTTTCTTCACTAAGATCTATTATTTTTGGACTATCGCATTGTTCAGAGTTTCTGTCAACCCAACAAATGCGAGGGAACAACAGTTAGTTGTGATCACTAATTTGGAAGTGCAGGTATGTCAATGACAACACAGTGAAATTTAAAACCTAAGAAGCACAGGGTTTCATCAAACACATCATCTCAGTGCACAGAAACATCTTGCTCTCCATGGAGTATACCTTTCCTGGCCTACACAGACACGCCTCTTCTTTGACTCCCCTACTTACTGAAACACAAATAACGTTATCAGGGCCTTACACCACTAGGCATAGAACGTTCCCTCCTAAACACACGCACGCACGCACGCACGCACGCACGCAC